GCTTTGTCCAGTACTGAAGCCCGTCACTAGGCATGCTTAACAGATCTGAACAAAATCCCTCTTAGCAGCACAGTGGAAGGGACGCCAGCATTGACTAGGAAAGAGAGAAGTCTCAATCTAAAGATCCTACAATTCTGCAGTAAACAGTATCATAGGAATAGTCTTTCCACAATCAACAGACCTGAACTCAGAAAAAGGGCTGGAAAAAATAATAAGACTGAAAGGACAGAACCTTTAGGATCAAATCCAATAGGCAAAGGGAGCTATACTTGTAAATTACACATGGATAGGACATGAGGACCAAACTTAATGGCATGGGGTTTTTTTGTTGTTGTTGTCATTTGTTTTTTGTTTTGTTTACCTTTTTAAAAATTTTAAATGCTTACTCTAATAGGAAAATTTGGATTCTGGTTTTTCTACTCTGGGTAAGGAGGAGAATGAAAAATCTCGCCTCCACCCAGTGCCCATGTCTGCATGAGCAGCACAGAAGCTATAAAAAATGTCCATTCTGGGGCGCCTGGGTGGCTCAGTCAGTCAAGTGTCCAAATCTTGATTTCGGCTCAGGTCGTGATCTCAGGGTCATGAGATTAAGCTCCAACAGCTGGCTCTACACTCAGCGGGGAGTCAGCCTGAGAGTCTCTCCTCCCCCCACCCCCTCCCCCTGCTCACATACGCACTCTTCCTCTCTCTCTCTCTCTTAAATAAATAACTAATCTTAAAGAAAAAAAAAAAGGAACTTCCATCCATAGATGACAGCCTCTTTGACCAAATGCCACAGGGCTGGCAAAGATTTCTAAACAGATTAATGAGAGGCTTCTGAGAATGTTAACTCAAAACCATTGTTTCTAAGATACAGCTTGGGTCTCTTGGAGAAAAAAGCTGGCCAGTTAAAAGGAAAGGTATGGATATGAATATTGTAGACTCACTGGTCGAGTCACTGTAACATGGCACCAACATTTTCTGCAAAACTGTTATTACTGTACTAGTGGCGCTGTCTTAGAAGTCTGTGAAGCTCTGTCATTTAAAAAGCTAATCATAACATAATGTTAACATATGGAAACCAGGCTATCCTTGTTCTCCAGGCTCAGGTGCCCCTACTGACCACAGCATTTTCTTAGCACCAGAAGGGTTGGTCTTACAACCCTTCCGGCCACTTCTGCATTTCCTTCTTTAGAACCCTTTAAATAAAAACAAAAGCAGAGGGAAAAAAACGAACAAACGTGCAATTTACTACAGCAAGTAAAAGCCAGGATCCGTTTAGCGTGTGTATTCCCTGCAATTCACTGGTATGCCCCTTCTTAAGAAAATGACAATCAAAAATAACTTCGCTGTACCACTGATGTTTGCCACCAAGCCATGCCACACGGTCCCACCACCCAAATCACACATGCGTCTCCACTCTGGCACACTAACCGTCCACCATACACCCACCCAACAATCAAGAAAAGAAGACCTTCCTAAGAAAGCAAGTCACACAGACACTAGCTTTACACCCCCAATGGGATCTGCCGGGAGTGAAACATACAAAGTCAGCCCACACACTTTCACGTGGCCTCAAAGTATCTCCCCATCAAACACTTACTCATAGAAAGAGGAAACCAGTCTTTTTAATGTGGAGAAGACTGGCAGATGCTATGTGTGTCACCACCAAGGGACCAAAGTTAAAATCACGAGTAACGAACCAAGTTGGCATCACACACTTCCTGATCTGATGTGCTTAGAACCCAGCACTCCTCTGGTGTTCTTGCTAAACCTGAATTAATCATGACATTAGATAATCTACAAAATACCAGGCCTGTAACCTTCAGAAAGACTGCTAGCTGTCTGAGCGCCTGGGTGGCTCAGTCGGTTAAGCATCTGACTTTTGCTTTCAGCTCAGGTCATGACCTCAGGGTCCCAGGATTGAGCCTCGTGATGGGCCCACACTCAGCCGGGAGTATCCTTGAGATTCTCTCCCTCTGCCCTTCTCCCCACTTGCATGTGTGCATGCTCTCTCTCTCTAAAATAATCTTTAAAAGTAAAAAAGTGTTAGTTGTGAAAGGAAAAATAAAAAGAAAGAAAAGAAAAGGAAAAGAAGTATGACACAGTCTACAAAGGGGACATCAGACAAATTGGCAGCTAAATGTGTTCTTGGCCAAGAAAAGAGACAACTGGCAAAACTTGAATGAAATCTGTAGACTGGATAATAATATTAAATCATTGTTAATATCCAGATTTTTACAGAATGTTAACTGTCTGTACTTGTGCTTATAATAACAGAAGGTTCTTGGTTTGAGTAAATACACAGTGAAATCCATAAAGTCATAGGGGCATCGTGTGTGTAACTTGCTCCCAAATTTTCAGAAAAAAAAAAAAAAAAACTTATGTACATATATTTGTACACACACATGGACATGTGTGTGGGTGTGGGTGTGTGTATAGAAAGGAGAGAGAGAATATGATCAAATAAGTATGGTAACATGTAAAACACAAACATTAACATTTGGGGAATGTGGGAAGCTTACATAGGGATTCCTCACAACATTTCCATGACTTCTCCAAGTAAAAAGCTTTTCAAGATTAAAAAACAATAATAATGACCCAAGTGGGTCTGAGCTTTCCAAGGACGGAGCTGGAGAAGGAGGAGGAATATCCCATCTCCGTCCCATCTGCTCCCCCATCCCCAACACCTGAGAAGCACCGGATTGTTGTTGGTTTCCCTGACAGCTACTTTGGAAGCCTACGGTGAGTTCGCCCAGGGCACCGCTAGATCTCCAGAGCCCCAAAGCCTAGTATAGGGCCTGCCATATACTGATGGCTCAAGAAATGGTCAGTGAGTGAATGAGCTATGAGAAGTCTCTGAGAGAAACCGGGGACAGCCCCCACCAGGGTGCTCCAGCCGCAAAGTCGGTAGAGTATGGCGCTCTTGTATAAATGGCTAGGTGGGAATGAGGGGCAGGAGGCATCCGAATAAAGAGTAAGATATGGTTCTCCCAAGGGGTATTCTCTTTATTGAGGAGCAATGGTTAACTGAGCATGAGTCCTAGAGTTGTCCTGAAACGGCCCTACTCTCTGGACTGGGGGAGGGAGGACATACATTCCAGGTACGATGTGCGCCAGTGCCCAAGGTCTCTGGGGGATCCCACATAAGCTATCTGATGTACCGAGATGAACAGAAATGAAGACCAGGGAGGGCCCTCTGGGTGGCTCAGTCAGTTAAGTGTCTGACTCCTGGTTTCAGCTCAGGTCGAGATCTCATGGGTCGTGGGACTGAGCCCCACATCGGGCTCCATGCTCAGCAAGGAGGCTGCTTGAAGGTTCTCTGCCTCTGCACCCCCAATAAAAATAAATAAAAATCTAAAAGAAGAAGAAGAAGAAGAAAGGGAGGAGGAGGAAGACAAGTAGACCAAGATTCCCCAAGATGACATTAAAGACTGAAACAGCTCCCTAGTCAGTAAATACTTCATTATGAACACAATGCCTCATTACATTCTGTTCTTACCTCCCAAACCGACTAGCACTTGGTTTCTCAAATTCACACTGACTACACACATGAGGTATGAAATTGGAATCATTTTAATTACCAAAGTTCAAGAAAGCTTCGAAAAAAGTTGTTTAGCAGATGAAAAACGTGACTTTGCTTCAAAAATTCAGCTAATTCAAGAACATCCCAACAGATTGCTTTTCCAGAGACATTCAAGTCTGAATAGAGATGAAAGGGGGTTGGGGGGGGGAACAATCCTCGGGCCACCGGCGTGTAAGTCTTAGGGGATGTTCCTATAACCCAAAACTGGGTTATAGAAAATTGGGACCTACAAGAAATGTGCTTTCTCGGATCACTGAGATCTAAGTTCACAATCATGAACACCATGTGATAATATTCCAGAAACAAATTAAACAAGGCAAACCGTGGCACATAAGAGAGGGCAGGATTCCAAATGGCAAACCTGATTTGCATATTAATGCAAAGAAGGACTTTTTGCTTTAATGAGGAATACAATTTTCGTGGAATCTCTAGGTGAGACTGCTGTGCTCACTTGTAAGGACTTGTTCACCAACTTATTTGAAATCTAAAACATAATGGGGATGGGGGAAAAAAACCCTTCTTAATGAATAAGTAATCACCAGTGAGCCCACAGAAGAACTGGGGCAGGCTGGTACAGCTGCCTTGCTCTCCATTTTACTTGCCACAACTGGGGGGCCAACTAGCTCCCCCTCAGAGTCAATGCCCTCCTCTAACTTGACAAGGACGGGGGTGTAACTCGCCCTGAGCGTTAGCTGCCAGCTACTGGTTGATTTGTCCCTAACAACACCCTTCCGCTTCCTATCTCCCAGTTTGAAGCTGCCCCGCCTCTCTAGAATGAAGTGGGAGAAGGTAGACGTATCACATCGCCTTCTAGGTACTCCCAAGGGGATGTTGTTTATATAACCCCAAAGGACACGGAGTAAAGACAACGTGCAAGAACGTTACCTGATGAGCCCTACCTCGGGATCAGGAGCCAGCTTCCATGCCTTCTGTGCTCAGTATCCCTCCCGTCCCCAACATGATCTAGTCCTCGGGCTGCCAAGGGCATGGCTCTACCAGCGTCAGCGGAAATTGCAAGGATCCGTGGTGACCTGACACCTGACCTAAGGGTTCTATTAGGGACCCCTCTATGGAGTTCGGCTAGAACCTCAGATCTACACGCAAATCAGTACACAGTGCGGTACTCTTCTTATTTCAACACATCCGAATCAATCGATATCTCCCCTCCCACAGACTCCTCCATTCTCCATGAAAACCCATACTCATGATACCCCTGGGCTGTCATACCAGCAGGACGATAATGGCATTTTGGTGAAAATCAAGCCCTCATCTATTTTGGTCTGAAGCGGAAGCCAAGACACTAGATCCAAGGATAATAGGACGGCTCCCGAAATGTGAGTCTTCGCGCTGGTCATCAGTTGCTGGTGTGCTATTACCAATGAAAAATGCAGAAGCTTTCGCTTCTTGGTTCCCACCCCCAACTGGTTCTTCTTACCTTTGGTTCCATTGAAATGAAACTGTGGGTTCCTCTGCTCGAGAGAACTGACCTTTTAATCGTCCTGCTATGGTAGAAGTGGTAGTAGTCCTTCAGGGCCCCGATCTGCAAAGACAGGAGGAGAAGCCCAGAAGGGAGTTAGTGGGAATTAAAGAGTCTTCTGTGTTCCTGTGTTGCATGAAAATAAGAACACAAAACAAAACAAAACAAAAAAAGGTCCATAAATTATGCAGTTGCCTCTATGCTTAAATGTTACTTGAACCCTGGTGATCACTTTTCCAAAGAAGGACATGTGACATGAAATGGAGTGTCCTTGAGGCAGTGACTGCGGAACTCAAGATTATAATGGGGCAGCTTAGCTCTCCGTATCTCCCTTTTAATGTTTAATTTATATGCAGCATTTTAAGTAATTCTATATCCATTTATATCCAAATGTGGGAAAGAGAAAAAAAAAATCAAATAGCGATCTGGTTATAAAAACACGCTGCATTCTGTTTGCTCCGAGAAATGTACAATGAAGGACCTCGTTAGATTATTTATATCATCAATTTGAAATCAGTCCTGAGCAGTTGGTCATTCACAAAGGAAACACTACTTAAGTTTGTTTCCTGCCTTCAGTCAGCAGTATAACGACATCGCAGTTATGCATTTATTACAAACTAAAAGTGGGCGGCGGTATCTGGAACCAGACGAAGATCGCATACCCTAGCTAGCAGCTACGCAACCCGGGTAAAGCCAGTGCAAGCCAGTCGATCACAACCCCTTCTTTCAACATACTCATCTTCTCACCTGCGCACCCCTCCCTTTTGTTGAAAACAGTTCAGTCTGCTTAGGATAGCTTTGAAAATAAGTCACTGGCACTTTCAGAAAACAAACAAAATCCCAGATAATCAGGTTCTCTCAGCAGATTATCAGATGTGGGTCACATATTATGGAAATGGAACAAGAAAGCAAATGAACACAGAAGAGCCTGGTTCTCGCTCTGGGTGACACTGCTCAGAAGTGGCTTCTTAGCTAAATCCCATGTACTTACTATGCCTCCATTTCCATTCCTATAAAACCAGGTGTTGGGCTGGTTAACGTCTTTTTTTTTTTTTTTTAAGAGTTTATTTATTTATTTGACATACAGAGATCACAAGTAGGCAGAGAGGCAGCAGAGAGAGGGGAAGGGAAGCAGGCACCCTGCTGAACAGAGAGCCTCATGTGGAGCTCAATCCCAGGACCCTGGGATCGAGATCTGAGCCAAAGGCAGAGGCTTTAACCCACTGAGCCACCCAGGCACCCCTGGGCTGGTTAACTTCTGAGATCACTGCAGCCCTCAAATTCCATCAAATTCTACTCTTTGACAATGACACTTTTTTTTCCTTCTTTGCTTTGCCCTAATACATCAAATGGGCTATTTCTCCAGAACATCATGGCTCTACCCTAAAAGAATAAAGAATAACCATCAACAGGATGGTTTCCAATGGGGACAATTCAAAAGTTGGCTTTCTTAATTAAAAAAAAAAAAGGAAAAAACTTCATTGGCCCATCTTCATTTTTCCAGATAAAAGGTTTATTTTTTTAATTCCCTTCTTTCCACCGATTCTCGAGCATCATTCTATCTCTCTGGTGAGGATGACTGACCCAGCTTCTGTGCCACTGAAGAGTCACCCCCTACCTGGGACTTTACACTCTAAATGAATGACTCAAATTACCATTGGATAGGACAGTCTGAAGTCACACATTTTTAACTCAAGTGGAAACTGCCCAGATATACACAGGAAAAGATCGGGAACTCAGAAACAGCAGCAAACAATGAGGAAGAAGACACAGATATCCACAGATATCCTCAGTGTCCAAGAGGGTTTCAAGGAGGGATTTACAGGCCAATTTTAAGATTCCAGAGGACTAAGGGTAGAATTCACAAATGGGCTGTGTAATCCTTTATAAGAAAATCTTAAAATCCCAAGGAGCTTAGAGCTTTCATCTCATGTAGCTTTTGTCAAGAGCGCTCCTTGGGTAAACACAGTAGTTTCTGTGGAAAGGGACATAAAATCTTTGGGGAAGAACTTTATACAGAACCTAGCACCAGTGTGCATATGGTCCATGAGTTTCAGACCATGCCCATGCAACTACAATGGAACCTCTTTAATGATAGGAAATAGTTGAATTCAACTGAACCATTAAACTCAAATGTGGATGAAATATGTCCTGAAGATTTAATTCTGATCCTTTGTGGCTTCTTTGGTAAAGACTGGAATCCTGGACTTACATAGCGTGTATGAAGCTGGAAAACAGAACCCTCGTCCTGACTTAACATGCTTTGGGATGTTGGATACACCACTGAACTATGTTGGGCTTTGGTTCCTCACTGTAAAATAAGGACACAGCAGGCACAGCGGACAGAGACTGGGTATCAGAGTCAGATGAGGCTTAAAAATGTGTACGGGTGAGTGTGGTTATAAGGACTGAGCAGCGTAACAGGTGCACTGCCTGGTCAAGGCCTTGCTGGGTATGTAGTTTCTGATTATCGGTTTCCCTTCTAAATTTAAACTTCACTCCTACCTTCTCTCACCTCTTGTCCTGCAATCCCTTACCTCTATCCCTTGGTCAGAATTCCTCTTGCTGTGCCCTACCTAGTATCACCTCTTGACTTCCCTCATCTTAACTGGCCAACTTTAGAAAGTCTGATGATACACTGTTGGCAAGGACGTAGGCACAAATGCAGCATACGTAGGACTGGGAAAGAGCACTCCTTGGGACAACTGTTTGGAAAGCCATTCGGTAATATCAGTAAAATTATAAACTGTACCCAACCTTTGACCCAGCTTTTCCACTTCTAATAATTATACAGATATAGTCACTTATGTATAAGAATGGATGTTGGAGAAATTCTGTAAAGCAAAATAATTCAAACAACTAGCTATAGTCAGTAGGTGTTTGGCTCTATATGAGCTGAAAGAATTGATCTCAAAGGAAGGATGGAAAGAAAAAAGGAAGGAAGGACGGATGGGGGAGGGAGGGAGGAAGGAAGGAGAGAGAGAAATAGAAAGAGAAAAGGAGGGAGGGAGAGAGAAAATAGGACCTCGTTTTCGTAGGAGAACAAAGAAAGAATCTGTACTACATGTATGCTTATAAGCACAGGATATCTCAAGAAGAATACTTGAACTACAGAGAGAGCTTTTCTTTTCATTGTTTATGTGTATGTATTATTTCTTAAATTTAAAAAACTAATTAAAAATGAAAGAAATAGCACCTAAATGAACTAGCGTACACCCGCAGGTGGCACCTACTCTTCCGGGGGCAAATCCACTTCCCAACGTCTGTGTGCCTAGTACAAGGGCCACCTTTCTCCAGGCCGTGAGATCCCTCTAGCAGGAAGCTCTGCTTTACCTCCACCTTGCAGGGGTCCTGTTTCCTCTACAGAGTCAGGGAACGGTGTTCTATGACTGAGTGATGGCTCATTGACTAAAGGCCTACCATGTGCCGGGCATCGCCCAGCTCTTCTGCAGGTGACTGTATTTAACTGAATTCCCCCAGGAACCCTAGAAGATAAAGATCGTTACCTCCACTTTGATCAATGAGGTTGTGGGAGATCGGGGAGTGCCCACACCTACACAGCTAGGACGGGAAGGGGCGGGCTGGGGGCGGGGCGGGAGATGTAAATCCCTGCTGAATGGCTAGCAAGCATCTGAGCTTAGGCTGCACAGTTTATCCCACAGGTGGACTGGGTCCAGCAACCTTCCGTGAGCTTCACTCCACTGCAGAGCTAAAGGGCTCCACTCTTTGCAGCCAGGGTTCTGATGTGATTAAGGTTCTGCCAATCAAAGGCAGACTACAGCATCCTTGGGCGGGCTCTTGGGGGCCATTATGTGTTTAGCAGTTGTGCTGGCAGAGGTCTTAATGCCGGCTGCTAGCTTTCTGCGCGTTTGTTTCGCAACATCCTGTTTTGTTGATAAATTGCTAAGAGATCACAGAAGAGCTATGGGGGCAACAGAGTAGCTTCCTCGTGCCTCGGTTTTTTGTTGGGGACGAAGCAGCAACTCTTGGGGAGGCCTATTGTGTGAGGTGGCATTGGGGGACACTTCTGAAAGCTTTGTCTTCTCGAATGATTCTACAGGCTATCTAATAGTCTATACCGAATGCCTTCCAAAGTAGAATGACTAAGTGGATTCTGCAGAAGGCTCCCTGCTAAATCTAAAATTGGAGAGATCAAAACTTACGGAAAAGTAGCTGCTCATTTACACAATCTCATACAACTTAGAGACCCTCCAAGTTATGTACCTCTTGAGTCATGAACGCTTGTGGGCCCCAGTGAGGCCCAGGCCCCCGGGTGACTCACTGTGTTCTGACCACCTGTTAAATGAACACACTTGCTTCCAGCCCTCTCAGAGCCATACGCACCAACCTCCTCTTTCAAATCTGTTTTCTACACCACAGCCAGAAAAAGGCCAGAAAATGCAAATCTGGTCATACTCCTGTCTAAAATTTCTAGGGGCTTCTCTCTGTTCTGAAAAGAAACAGTAATAGTTAACATTGAATATTACTGAATATTATAGTTTCTAAAGTAAATCAGAATAATAATATCATATCAACATCAATGTTATGCCAAGAACTCTCCTGCATGCTTTGCCTAAGTCTTTTTTTTTCCTTTTTGCTGCAAGACAACAGCTTAAGGGTAGCACATGTTAGCTCCATCATTCTACATCATTTGCACAAAATAATCTGTCACCTTGTGGAGTTACACACATTTTTTTATCTAAATATCTATATTTAAAAGCGTGTTTATGTCTCTTGTCTATTAACATGCATGTCCCTTATTGGTGAGAATTGTGTCTTTCATATCCTTTCAACAGCATTGAGCATGCTGAGGGCATTTAATAAACATTAGGAAGAAAAATGTCATAACATATTGAGAGCTATTTAAAAGAAAGACAGTGTATGAAAACAAAGCAGTAATATTATCTATAACCTGACATTCCACCCAGCTCCTCCAGGGTAATGTAAAACAAAAGATGACTGTGTTTGTATGTTACCTAATACCAACAAGGGCTAAAACAAGAAGGAATTTGTAACTAACATAGGGGGGGTTTTATAAATAAATCAGAAGCTATTAGCATATA